TGTGTCCGACATTGTCTGAAGTTGCATCATCTATGGTGGTTATAAGGCTCCAATTTTTTTCTGCTTAATACCTAGGTTTTAAGGAGAAGTGTGGACTGGGCTTTTCAATTTGGACTCTTTGATAAATTTATCTCATATTAGATGTTGTCCCTCATCAATAAAATGAGTAGAAGTTTTCATTGAAGTATTCTAATTTTGTCTTCTCCACTCCATTTTCTATGCTGGGGTTTTGTTTTGTGGTTTGATTTTTTTGGCTCTCTCTCTGCATTCAATTCTTCATGGATTTCACCTAGTATGTGTTTTTCTCTTTGGAAAATTTAGCCAAAACTCCTCCATTGGACCCTTGTTTAGTGAAAAGGATAGCCTAATTTATTTTGCTTCATAAATCCCCTAAGGAGGATGTGCATAATTGAGTAAGGATAAAATAATATATATATATATATATATTTTTGGACAATATTACCAGAGTAACATGTTACTGTGAACCAGAATAACATGTTACTGTTAGATAAAGTTTACATCATTTTTTACAGTAATAATTTATTTATTTATTTTTTATAATTGCATAGTCAACGTGGATCTTATTTGATAGATCTTGATGAGAGTATTCTAAAAATACTAATGGGTAAATTACATTGACACCCCCTAAGGTTTATGTTTATTACAGTTCTTCCCTTCACCTTTTGAAAATTACATCACCCTCCTAGAAGTTTAAAGTTTTATTACAGATTGTTCTCTCAGTTAGTTGACTGTTAAGTCAACTAACAGATTTTGCTGATGTCAACAATTTAATTTTTTTAAATACCAATTTTGCTTTCACTGGGTAAATTACATTGACACCCCTCACATTTTAGAAATTACAATCCCCTCCCCAAGGTTTAAAGTAACATTATCAATTGCCCCCTCGGTTAGTATTAGTTAGAAAAAAAAAATCATTGAAAAAAAACATTATTTGAAAAAAAAAATTAATTGAAAAAAAATTTTGTTAGTCAAATTTTAAAATTTCGGTTTAAAAACCAACGTAAACTCATTTTTTGAATTTACATTTTTTTCCTCAAATTTACAAACTGAGACAACCATTTATGAACCAAAAAAATTATCAAATAAGTTTTTATGACAATTTTTAAAATTTTTGTAAATATAAATTGAAAACTAAAAACGAAATGATTACCAAACATGCCTCAGATGGTAAAAATATCGTAAAATTAACAAATAATTAAATAAGTTACCAACGTAAGAAATGACTTATCAAAATATTCTTAGGTTATGTATAGTTTGATTTTTAGAAAAAAATTTTAAAAATTAAAAATTAATTTGGTTAAGAAATAAAAAATAAAAAATAATTTTCATTTTTATATAATTTTTATCTTTCGAGTGCTTAGAAATAATTTTTTACAAATTAAATATATTTTTTCATATTTATTTTTATTAAATTAGTTTTTTTTTTTTTAATGTCAGGGAGGGATCCGTATTAAATTGAAACCTCAAGGGGTGTCAATGTAATTTATCCTTTAAAGTATATGTAAAGGTTAAGGGTAAATATGTCATTTTAACTTAAAAGTTAACGCTGTCAAATAATTATGTTGACAAAGGGGGTCAGTGTTATTTCCCAAATGTGAGGGGGGAAATTGTAATAAATATAAACTTAGGAGGTGTCAGTGCAATTTACCCAATACTAATTTTATTAAAAACCGACAACTGAATCAGAAGTTATATTATTTTGAAGTTTAATATTTTGGTAATAGTGGTATGTGTTGGACTTTACAAGGAAAACTTTTTGTACTTATCCTTAATGCATTTCAATTTTATCATGAGGGGGTTTTGACCAAATCCCCCTTTCACTTTGGTAAACATCGCACTATTGATTATTTGTAACTTCTCTCTTTCTTTTAGATGGTATTTCCATATACGAGCTACGGTAGTCTGGATACCTCTTGTGTTACTTAGAGTTTTCATCTCTTTCCGAAGAAAAAACACAGGATCTGAAATTTTGGCGCCTAATTTTTTTTTTCCCTTCGTTTTTTCCCTCACAATGTAGTTAGCAGTATTGGCTGGAGATTTCCTACTTTCCAGAGCTTGTGTGGCTCTTGCCTCTTTGAAAAACACAGAGGTATTCTATCCTCTTGAAACTGGTATTTTTGGATTTATTATCTTCTGAACTTCTAAATTTCTGCTGCATGGATGCTTGAATTTTAGTGAGAGGTGGCACTGAGCTGATTCTTTCTACAATGCCATGCTTTGGTAGCCTATTTCTAATACTATTCTTTCTAATTTTACCACACATCCATCTAAGCAACTTTCATCTTAGCTGCATTTATTTTATGAAGGTGTTGTATCCTAGTAGCCTAATATTTTGTTCTGTAAAGCATTGCTGTTCTATAGCATCAATGGCTTAAAGAATTGAGTTTATAGTTGTAATTTGATATTCAAGATTTTGATTAGTATAGCTTCCATTTGCTACATATTTAAAATAGTCACCATGCTTCTGCAGGTTGTATCATTACTAGCAACTGTGGTAGAACATCTTGTTACAGGCGAGACCATGCAAATGACTACTACATCTGAGCAACGTTGTAGGTACACTACTCTGCTGCTGGTGTCATTTTTATACTTTTTTAGCTTCAGGCATTATGCACTATAAATAAGAGATGCAAAATCCTATGAGACATAATAATACATTTTCTGGTTGTAGGGCTATTCTCTCTAGGCACTTATAAATTATTGATATGGATTAGTGAGACTTTTGGCAAAACCGCTGAGGACATAAAGTTATCTTGGCAATATAAATTGAATTCATCCACAGTGGAATGTCTTTTCTTGTTTGTGGGAGCCTGATTGCCTGCTCATATTACTGATTTTGACATAAATTATCTTCGGTGCAGAAGAATATATTGATGGTTGTCATTGAATCATCTTAGGGGGCCATTGTGTAACTTTGCATTGGTCTCTGATCATCTTGATTTTTGGTGTTGATGAGAAGCATGAGCTTGTAAATGTTGCTTTAAATATATTGTCTAGTAACAGCTTCCCTATGTGAATGCTTGCAATGGGAAAGGTTGCAGGATTGCAGTCAATGTAGCTTCTCTGGTGCTGTCATTTCATGTCTGATCATTAACATCCGTTTCATTGGCATATTACTTCTTGTTTTCATGATATTTTGGCTTTTATTAATTACTAGTCTTGCTATAAATTCTTTCATTAAAGTTATTTTTTATTTTATTGCAGCATGGAATATTATTTGCAAAAGACATACTATAAAACAGCGTCATTGATTTCAAACAGCTGCAAGGCAATTGCCCTTCTTGCAGGGCAAACTGCAGAAGTTTCAATGTTGGCTTATGAATATGGAAAGAATCTGGTGTGTAATATCCTTGGGATGTATGTTCTATCTGTTATTTACAAGAAAGATCATCATTTATTAGTATCTGAATTTCATAGATTTATGGCCCATCCACCTAATAGAAAATTTTAACAGATTCATGTGAAGTTAAATTCAGTTTCCCACAATAATTTAAAATCCAAAAGCTTCTGTGTGTAGCTTTGTGTCCAATTTCAACAATACCATAAACAGAGCAGAAATTCTCTCTTATACGTGCTTCCTCAAAATGTGCGCAAGATAAATTGACAGTTTTATTGCAGTCATATCAGGCTATACACCATAAGGCAGGGTAATCCTAACATTTTAGCTGTTCCAAGTGCTTTTCTTTAACTGTATACTATTAGGGTTCCTTGGTCTTTATCTTTGGTCTTTAGAGAATGAGTAGAGAGTTGTGCAACTTAATTGTTTTTTTTGTAATTGTTGCAATGGCCAACCTGGCTGCCATCACTCCAAGACATGTCACCAAAATCTTGACATATTCTAAAAATAACACTTTTTGTTTAAATAACAGTGGTTACCATTACACCTTAATGATGATGCTGTCAACGCTGATTGGCTTGCAGTTGTAACAGCCCTCTCACTCACTAGTAGGAAAACCAAATCAAAGTTTTGCCTCTCCCTAAAATATTATCGTGGTTTTCTTAGTTACCTTTGAACTGAATGCTTTTGTGCATTCTCTTTTTCCTCCACAGGGATTGGCCTACCAGTTAATAGACGACGTTCTTGATTTCACAGGCACATCAACTTCCCTCGGAAAAGGTTCTTTATCTGACATTCGTCATGTAAGTGTTCTTTCCTTTGTGTTATTGTTGCATTAAAATAATAATCTTCTCAATATTGAAACTGCACATCCTATGTGTGTCCACAAGCTTCTGATTTCTAGTTTTTTGAAATTAATTATTATTAATATATATATATATATTTTTTTTACAGATTAATACATCCAGTTACATAGTTGAAATATATATATATATTTTTTTTACAGATTAATACATCCAGTTACATAGTTGAAATTATTATCTTTTTAACTTTAGTTGAAAATTTTTAGTAGCTTATGCAAAGAATAATATGACTCACATTTCAACCCAGGTGAAGGAGAGGAGGAGTTTAGTTTAAAAAGTCCTGAACAAAATTTCAAAGATTGTCTAGTTGGTTCTCCAACTGTTGACACATGCCTTATCAGTCTAGTGTCAAGTTGTTATGATTACCATTGACTGTGTTGAACATGTCTCGTTCATGCCCTACTTAAACATACAATGTGCACTCACGTACACAGCGTTTAAATGGGATCTCCTTTGCATATAAATTTTAAGCTGTCATATCTAACCCTTCAAATCAAGTACAGGGATTTCTTGATTTTTTATGTTCAAAACATGTAGCTATGAGCGTATCTATTCACTATAGTTCCTGTCCTGTATATTGATATAGTCTAAGGAATAGCCTATGTAGAGGATGAGTACCCTTAAGACTTTCGAATTGTAAGTGTAGAAATTTAAAATTCTTTTGCAGGGAATTGTAACGGCTCCAATATTATATGCCATGGAGGAGTTTCCGCAATTGCGTGCAGTTGTTGATCGGGGATTCGACAACCCTGCAGATGTAGATCTTGTGAGTTTCTGTGTTACACTTCACATATTATGCATGATCCAAGTTGCATCTTGCATGGAATGGATGTGGCAATGATCCATACACTATATAATTGTATACACAAGTGATGCAACAAAACTCTATCCTTCGTCTTTTCTCATTCAGAAATGGTAAAGACCACCTCAGCAGCGAATTGGTTACTTGATTCTCATCTCTATCCTTTCCATCTCTCATTGTTTAAATCGTTTAATGTTGATAGGGTCTGACTTCAACAAATTAAACCCAAACTCCCAAAAAAAACACCAAAATTTATGGTGGGAATTCATTTTTTTATACTGGAGTTGCAGCAAAGGAACTGGTGCAGATGTTATAAGTTCCTCATGTGGAAAAGGTCAATCTTAGATATTCGTAAGAGGCAAAATTGGAGTTGCTATATGTACTCTTCAGATTGAAGCTTTTGCCTTCTGTGCATGTGAACTTCTCAATTTCAGACGACATTTATTTACAACTTGTTGGTTTCTACAGAAAAGTTGAAAGGGATATAAAGTTTAATTGAAGTGTTGCCTTAAATAGATAGAGAGAAAGGTGAAACATGATTTGTGTAGCAGGCTCCTAAATTGATGGGACAAATGCTTGCAGTTGAGCATCGAGGTTGTAAAATTTTACTGGGATTGGTTATAATTTTGCGTCTTAGAATTTACTACTACTTCAATCTGTGCGTGTTTCCATTTTTACTTGTTTGGTTTTTGTTTTTTTTTTTCTCTCTCTCTTTTTCTTTTTTTGGGTTTTGTTTGGCATAAAATGTAAGCATTGTATTGACATCCAACAGTATTGCATATTTGGTCTTTCTTTTGGTACATGTACACATTCAACTTACTAGATTTTTAACTAACAAACACCATCTACATGCAACTGGAAACACAGGCTCTTGATTATCTTGGACGGAGTCGTGGAATACAGAGAACCAAAGAGCTAGCGGCGAAGCATGCCAACCTTGCCTCTGCTGCAATTGATTCTCTTCCTGAGAATGATGATGAGGATGTTCAAAGATCAAGGCGGGCACTGGTTGATCTGACTCACAGAGTCGTTACAAGAACAAAGTAGAAAAGAACGTCAATTCCTGCCACAATGCTTTCATGTGTCAGTTTTTCCTGCAATTTTTCCATCAATGGTTTTGTGAGGGGGTTTATTTCCTCAATATTCTTTCTGTTTTGTTTTCCATTTCAATCATGTAGTTGTGATGAAAGCCACCAAAAAAAAAAAAAAAAAAATGGCCCTCCCCAAACTTGCTATCAATTGTAACATTGGGTAATATTAGTTAGGAATGTGATAAATAAAAATAACTTTATATTAGTTGACTCAATTCATATGGTTAGTGGCTTCAACAAATTTATATCCTATTTTACCCATAACATTTATGCAAAGTTACATATATGCACATGCTAGATTTCCAATTTTGGCAGAAAAAATTTGTAAGTTGTTTTTTGAAGTTTTGAAATCTATTTTTGCACAAAAATAAAAATATAATTGGTATTTTTAAACTTCCATTATTTTCTTTTCGGAAAACACAAGAAAATGAAGACATTGAGAATGGTATCAAACACTTGCGTTAAACTGCCATAGATTGGATCTTAGGTTTGTTTAAAAGCTTGGGAAACAATTCCAATCTTTGGAATGCTGCATGAAGACTGTCTCAATCACTATAAATTTTTAGGCAAATAAAATTTGATCAACTAGTGAGTTATCTCTACTTAAAAAGAAAAAATATACTTTTTTTTGGGGGGGGGGGGGGCAAACAAATTTGTGATGAGGTACAAATGAAAAGTTGCACCCCTCCATATTTATTTGTGTAATTTCTTTTTTTTATGTGTCTAGTGATAAGTAATTTTCCCAAGGTTTTTTTGAAATGTCAATTCCTTTAAAATGATATAAAATGATTCTATTTGTAATATTTTTCATTATTATTTTTTTCAACTCAAACATATCAATAATTATTTTAATAAAATCATCATTATATTCCAATTCATTTAAGTAAACCAAACCCTAGCTAAGAGCTAAGAACGTTTCTGATATGAATGGATGAAGGAAGAATACTTACATAAAGCGATCCTCCACATGTAGCCTGCATTATTTTAAAGGAAAAAAAATTGTCAGCCAACAAAAAGCATTACTCCTCGCAGTCATATGTATCTTAAAATCTTTAATAATTAATATTAGGGTAAATTAACCGATCTCTCGTCAGATTTAAAGAAAATATAATAAATTTCATAATTTTAATAAATTATATTGAGTTTTTTTAAAAAAATTTAATTTATATAACACTTAACTTCAATTTCATTAATAATTTGTTAGTTATATGAATGAAAAAAAAAATAATATTGTCTTCTATTTTACATAAAAATATATATTTTAAGTTATTTATTTTTATATTTTTGCACTATTGTATTAGTTTTGGTTCATTTAACCTTATTAAAAGGAGTCAGGGTAATTATATTAAAATTATTAGACTTACTTTATTTTTATCAAACATCAAGGGAGGTTAGTGTAATTTACCCTTAATGTTAAAATTAATTTTAACATGTTACATAGCTATATGTTTCATCTTGGAAAGTTTTTTTTAATGGTGGAAGTAACCAGTAATAAGGAAAATCAAG